GTGACTCTTACCTGCTTTAGAAACCCGAACAAATTACTGCTTTCTTGTTGCTTTTACTTTTCACAACAATCACTCGAACTAGTTTGCTAGATAATAGAGAATCACGGAGTAAGCAGTAGATCTAGACCCCGGGTTGATAATTAAACTTGCCTGTTACTGCATTCCCGGACTGCGATTACACTTGGTCGCAGTTTGGTGTTGTGTTTTGGCGTGTCAACGATGCACGAAGACTCATCCCGGCATCGCGATTAGCTTCGGCCATCTTTTTAGAGCATCACTCATGCACTTGTTAGACTTGTGCAAGTGCATATGCTCGGTAGAATGCAAACCATGACTGTGGGATTCGACGAATTCATACACCACAAATCCCTCCCTAGCAGCATCCCATCCAAAACGAACACGGGCGGGACATCCATCCCTAACTCGAGGCCTCTTTCTTTTGCAAACCATTCTCTCTTCAACCTTGTCTTCCGGCGGTATCTGATTATCCACATTGACTTTGCTTGTGGAAGTCCAGCCTTCCTTATTACAAAAGTAATAAAGGTATGGATAATTTTTCTCCACCACTCCTTTAGAATTCTTGATCTTTCTTATGTGTTCCCCACTATTCGAACACAACCCCTTTTTTGTGAGCGTAGCGCTTATAGAAATCAAAACACTCATCCTTAGTGCGAGAAAAGATGTTCTCTCGCTTCCTCGTCTTCTTAGATCCAACGTCTTATGAGCTGCGATTATCAGGTATGAGGCATGTTATTATCATATTGTCAAAAACAAATGAAATCAATAGCCCAGACTACTAACTATCCAACATAGCTCGAAGTCTTACCACAAACTGTTAGAATACATAGGCTTCAATAAATATCCAGACTTTCAATAAATAATCTATAACTACCAGACTAATATCAAACAATGCATTAAACAGTAGGACACACCACGTCCAGACCAATATCAAACATTAAAGTAAATCGTATCCAAAACCCACGTATCAGTACCCATAACAACATCAAGATCATTAAATGTCATTCTCACAAAAATCTCAACATCAAACACCCATAACAACATCAACATCATTAAATTCCATTCTCAAAACAATCTCAACATCAAACATTCAATGCAACCAAAATCTCACAACAACACAAAAATATATACTCAATCAACCTTTATCTTTTTCTTATTCATCTAGGGCAGGAGCACCACTTGAATCTCATCAACAAATCATATGATGTAGGATAGAGTTCTTCTTCACTATTTGTACGATCGATTTACCCTCTTCATTGGAGAAGATCCTTGATCATCCAAACTCCCCATTGTCGTCGATCGGCATCTAGAACGTGGACAAGACCGCGGAAAGAAAAGATGGTCGCCGGAAAATACAGTTGGGCGGTGCTCTCTTCCTTTGGAAGAGAAGGAAAACAGAGAAAAATTGAAGAGAGAGAGGCAATTTTCGGGTTGGGAGGCAATTTTCGGGTTTGGGTGGTTGTGGACATTAAATTCCAACCACTTTCTGGGTTTTAATTTTTTTTTTTTACTTTTCTTTCCCCAAATAAATCACCCACTTGGGCCCTTCTTTCCCTTTCTCCCGCCTTGACAACTGGTCCCCACCGAGCGCAACCCATCAGCTCCATCTCTTTTCTCGGCTGGGCTAAAAAACCCACAAAACCCCACTTAAATGAGCCCATTTCTTGCACCCGTTGGATCTCAGCTGGGCTTGCGTGGACAAAATCCATACGTGTCAGCATCTCTTAACAAAGACACAGTTAGGAGACTAACTTTCGAGAAATTGATGGTGGTTGGGGAGAAACAATAAGTTTCATTTTTTAAAATTTTCCTTTATTTTCATATAATTTTTATTAGTTTTTATGAGGAAAATAATATATTTAAGTATTTCGTTAGAATGTAGGACAGAACTGGTCGAAATTTTTTATGGATCTCTATAAAATCGATTTCAATGATACTTGATGTCCTATTTTGTTTTTCAATAGTACCGAACCCACTTTCAATAGGTTGAATGGATCACGATTATTAGGGGTGAACAAACACACCGCAAATCGACCCACCCAACCCAACCCACCCGTATTTATCGCTAAAACGAAGGTTTTGGGTTGGGTGAGGGTTTTCTTTTGTACAACCCGCCTCTTATGGGTTGGGTTGGATTTTGGATTACACAACCCGTAGAACCCGACCCAACCCGTGTTCCAGTTATTAGTATGAGTTCGTATCCAAAAAAGTATTTATATCGTATATAGCCATACTTATGAGAAAATTAAGATATTTCGCCATGTTTTTCTCTATGGTCTCCCTAATCTAATGCATTCTTCAGCGTAAAGTTTAGATATAATTTAATTAGCTATGATTCACGTAATTCTTTTCTTGTGTACAATTTAATAGTATAACATATTATGGATGCGTCATTTGTACCCATTTTAGTCTATTTCAACAAATATCGTGAAAAAAAATAGACATTAGTTGAAGTAAATTAAATTTTATAATATTCAAACAATATTTGTGAATTTGATACCATCACCTCAGTTTATCGTTTGAATTTTTAATTAGTTATAAAATATTTTATGGTGTAGAATAATTACATATTGTATTGGGTTGGATTTTTACTTAAAATATCGCCAATCCGACCCAACCCGATTAGAAACAAACCGTAGGGTTCAATTTTTTTTGAACGGGTTTAAGTTGATATTCTCAAATCGTAACACATGGATCAGGTGATTAAAATGTCTAAACCCTCACCACCCAACCCATCTACCTAAGAATTATGTCTCCCTTATTTCACATTTATCTGGTATGTGGAATTTTCCACATTGGATTCCCAAGATTTGAGTTTTTTCCAGAAATAGCACCTTTAAAAAAAAATTACAAAACTAGCACCCTCTCAAAAAATTTACAAAACTAGCACCCTTTTTATTGACCGCACCCTCGTGATGCGATTTACATATAAATCGCCCCAGGTGCGTTTTATATGTAAACCGCACCTGGAGGGTGCGTTCTAATCTGGTGGGCCTAAATCGCATCTTGGCAATGCGTTTCATGTCTGGCCTACATGAAACGCATGGCCGAGGTGCGGTTTAGGCCTGACCTACCTAACCGCACCTTAGAGATGCGATTTATTCCTCCAAGAACGAACCGCATCTGTAAGGTGCGGTTTAGCCATGTAGATCGCACCCCCCAAGTGCGGTTTACGTGCCAATTATTTTCCGACACCCGACCAGCCATGCAGAGAATTATGCACGTAGGGCTGCATGGCTGACTAAAACCGCACCCTAGAGGTGCGGTTCACAATTTTTTCCCCTATATAAGACTTGCCGGAAAACCTTACTCTTCACACCTCTCATTCTCTCTTTCATTTTTCTTTTGTATATCTATATTTATTTAGTGTGTTTGCCATTAAGATTAACTCGTAAGTTTTTTTTTGTTACTTTTTATGCCATAACATTAACTCGAAACTTTATTTTGTGTACTTTTTATGCCATTAACATTAACTCGTAAGTTTATTTTGTGTTACTTTTTATGTCATTAAAATTAACTCGTAAGTTTATTTTGTGTACTTTTTATTGTGATTTGTGATTTTTATGATATTAAACTAAACTACAGTTTGTTTGTGTGCAGATGGCATTCCGTCAGTTAACGCTTGGCTTACGGTGGAATGGTTACACGGAAGAGACCGGAAAGGGGGCCACCTACGTCGGGTGGCAATTTTCAGAAAATAACGGTCGGTACCAGACCGAAGCTTGAAGACCTCCATCAAATATGCACTGACGCAACTTGCATGGATGGCACGAGGAGGGTAGATCGTATGGTGTCACGATACCCAAACAGAGCAACTGGTTCATTGTGGCATGAGGAATATACCATAACCACTCAAGATGACCTAGATTCCATGCTCGAATCTTGAGGTCCAACAAATTGGCCAAAGCCGAGATGTTCGTTTACACCGAGCCAGCCGTTGGTGTTGGACGTCATTCTGGACACGGTCAAACATCTGGTATCATGGTGGAGGTGAATATATGACGAATCCCTACCAAAGTTACCATGATCCTCAATCTATTTTCAGTACCAAGATGGAGGGCAAGGTGCTGGCCATCATCAATCTTCTCGTCATATGAGAAGAAGTTCAACCAGGACATCCCAACCAAGCCAGTACAACTTCCTGACAGGCAGCGGTAGTTTTCACAACTACCATTATGGAGTGATGAAGGTGCCTTTCATGAGCAGGATCAGTGGATTCTGCCACACCAGCACCAGTCAGCGACCCCTCTGATGAAGAAGGAGAGAACAACGTCAGTGCAGACAGCTCAGACCCTCTTGAAGGTGCTGATGATTCAGCACCAGATTCAGATTCAGATAATGATCATGATGTGGCTCCTGACCGGTACCAGTCCCCTACTACAATACGTATGGGAACATCTTTGATTATAACTAATCGAGACCTCTGTTTGCCCTCCCTTGTTGCAAGACAATATTTTGAAGTAAAGGGGATCGGCCTAAGTCGCTACTCTACCCACCGTTACGGCGTGATCATCATCATTCATCCATTACATTAGTGCAATTGTATTATTTATCAAACTAGAAGACCAAGTGATGTGGCTAATTGAGATTAACACTAGTGGTAGGGTTAGTTGAGTATTATGTTTATTGGGTGTATATGTGTACGTTAGTGCACCATAGTATTATGGTTAATCGACATCAATTAGTACTTCCATAGATAATTGTAATTGTTATGACTAATAAGACGAAGCTCTACAATCTACATCCAAAGTCCAGTTAGCAAGATTCAATTTTGTAACATCATCAGGTTCAGCGAAGGGTCCGTCCAATTAATGATGGTCTGAGTGAAAGCGACATCAACCAAGTCCAATCATTACGCATTCCCATGACTCCATTATCATCCCGCCCTCCACCACATACCAATTAACACCTCGCCGCCGGCGAAATCCCTTCCACTCCACCCAATTACCAAAACCCCTCTCAAGTCAACTCCTCTGCTGCCAATGGCGGACCATCCTCCTCCGCCACCGCCGCACATCCTCGTCTTCCCCTTCCCAGCACAAGGCCACGCCCTCGCTCTCCTGGACCTAATCCACCATCTCTCCCTCCGCCGCCGCTTCTCCCTCACCGTCGTCACCACTCCCAAAAACCTCCCCTCCCTCGCACCGCTCCTCTCCCTCCACCAACCCCCCTTCCTCAACCTCCTCGTCTTCCCTCTCCCGCCCCACCCCCTCCTCCCCGCCGGCGTCGAGAACGTCCAACAAATCGGCAACGCCGGCAACCTCCCCATCATCACCGCCCTCCACAAATTATCCGACCCAATCGCCAATTGGTTCCACTCCCAACCCGACCCGCCCGTCGCCATCATCTCCGATTTCTTCCTCGGATGGACCCTCGCCCTCGCCCGCCGCCTCCACATCCCTAGGTTCGCCTTCTTCTCCACCCGCGCCTTCCTCGCCTCCCTCAACGACCACCTGTTCGCCGACGTGGAGGCCGTCAGGGACATGGACCCCGTGGTGTTCGATCAATTGCCCGGCTCGCCGACGTTCAAATCCGAGCATCTCCCTTCCACGTTCCGCCGCTACGTTCCGGGGAATTCCGACTGGGAGCTCGTCAGGGAAGCCCTGCTGTCCAACCTGCTCAGCGACGGCTGCGTCTTCAACACTTTCCATGCCCTCGAGGGTCCGTATTTGGATTTCCTCAGGCGGAAAATGGGTACCCAAAAGGTCTACGCGGTCGGACCGGTCAGCTTGTTAGGAACCGGAGGCGATCCAAAAAATTTGGGTGATCACCCGGGCTCTGACGTGATTCACTGGCTCGATCATTGCCCGGATAATGGTTCCGTGCTCTATGTCTGCTTCGGTAGCCAGAAGCTGATGACCAACCACCAGATGGAGGCACTAGCTGCCGCTCTGGAGCAGAGCATGGTGCGTTTCGTTTGGGTCGTGAAGAAACCGGGTCCGGAAATGGAATTCAGTTTACCGGATGGGTTTCAAGACCGGGTATCTGGCCGGGGGCTCGTGCTGGACGGGTGGGCACCGCAGGTTACGATACTGAACCACCCGGCAGTGGGTGGGTTTTTGAGTCACTGCGGGTGGAATTCGTTGTTGGAAGCGGTGGCTGCTGGAGTTCCGATTCTGGGTTGGCCGATGGAAGCTGACCAGTTTGTCAATGCTAGACTACTGGTTGAGGATCTGGGTGTAGCCGTGAAGGTTTGCGAGGGTGCTGACACGGTCCCTGATCCGGTCGAGTTGGGGAGACGGATCGCCCAGTCGATGAGTCAGGGTTTGGCCGAGAGGAAGAGGGCTGGTGAGATGAAGGACGAGGCGTTGGCTGCTGTGGAACAAGGCGGGAGCTCTCAGATTGACTTGGAAAGGTTCGTGCAGGATTTGCAGAAACTGCAAATTGAAGAAAAAGGAGAGGGTATTAAGTAAACGTGATTCGTTAGCCTCTTTTCTGGAGGGATGAATAAAATCAATTCCTGGTCCTTTGGGTGTACCGTGTACGTGTATTTGGAATTTCAAAGACTAAAGTTCTGCATGCAAAGGAGACGGTTCCCTTTCAGTCTCTTTCATGACTTCTACTACCCTCCGTATTCAAGGTATTGCCAGAAAAAGAAAACCCATAGTTGATATTTGAAAATCATTCAGCTTCAAGTTGTCCGAGCATTGATGTTGAAACGTGCAACAGAAACGCTACAAGGCGAATCGGATGAATGCTTCACCCCACCAGCAGATGGCTTCTGATCACTTTCCTTCTGCAGTCTGCTCAAGTAAGAACCTGGTCTTTCTGTTTGTATGCCGAGATGAGAAATTTCATACTGCTCCAAAATACAAGCGAGTATCAAGCTAGTATATATGAAGCATCATTGCAAATGGCTTGCAACATTTTCCCTACTCAACCATGGCCACCTTCATCAAGTCGAGGATTTTCTTCGGGACATCTTCTGCCAAACAAATATACATGTCATGGCTTTGTAGAGGGTATGATGGATTTGAAAGACGCTATACCGTTGGAAGCTTCATATGAATCATATTGACAAAGAAACCAAAACACACCTACCGTCATATCCTATTTGATACACAGCTCTGACAAATTTCTGATGCAGCTCAACAGGCCTTAGGAGATACTCCTACCTCTCTCCAAACCATCAATCTCCTGGCCTCCATCACACATCCTCGTGATCACTCGGTTCCTCCTCCGTTGCTCAAAACTCCCCGCTCATCATCTCGCCGATCTCAGCAAGACAAAGCCCAACGTTGGCAGCTTCCTTCAGAAAAATGGTGCAGAGATGCAAAACACTCAAAGAAGCCTATCGGATCATGGAGAGCTCTCCCCTCAACATTGCAGAATCTTTAACCAGATTGAACTTAGCAATGTTGCAATCTCAACCTTCAAGAAAGAAATTGAGGACTGCGGTCAATGAATCCACTAGAAATAAGAATCCTCCAGCATTTCAGGCAAGCAAAGACCATGATCAATTGGAATCAAATCCACTAGCCCAAATTTACCAACATCATCGCCGAGCTTCTTTACCAAGAGATTCCCACTGTGCTTATTGGTGTTGAGAATCAAGGTATCTGTAATAAGCTGGACTAATCCACCTTAATTAGCTTCGACAGCAAGGAATTAAAATGAGAAGCAATGGGACCATGAAGCAAAGAAGACATGGAAAGAGCTCCTTCACACACAAAGAGACCTACAGAACAGAAAAGAAGCACTGTAACCTGCTATAAACGATAAGTTCACAAAAAATAAAAGAATAATGGAAAGAAAGCAGCATCAGTAACTAATTTGGTGGATTTCCCGAAAGCCATGGACAGTGATAGTGAAAAACATATCTGCATTTCCATCATCAAACTCAGTGGCCACACACACAGGAAAAAAAAACACAATCCTCTCCCACCAGAGATGATAGTGAAAAACAAAGTTTGAAACTCAACTGAATAGATCTATAGAAGCAATAGAAGGAAAAGGGGAAGCAAAAAAGCTGGTAAACCTTTTTCATAATTCAGATGCTTGCCGATTTGAATGCTGCGGCCATCCTCCAATATTGACTTGGATAGGTTCAAAGAAGATCTGCATAAACTGCAAATTAAGAAAAAGGAGATAGTATTAAGTACACATAATTAGTGCAAAGGATTACATAGTCTCGTTATGTAAAAATGACATAAACAATGTTATATTGCTTGATTGTTGTATTTCAATTAATCAAGAAATAAAACCTTGGCTACTATTCAGAAGGGGAAATGATGCAGCCAAACTTGACCATAACAGCACCTAGATCAGCCATCGAAATCAACTGGCTGCTGCTGCTGGGAATAGTGGTAATAATCACATTACAAATATCCCAGTCAGGAGAAACACCATTACACAACATCATCCGGAAAAAGTATTTGGCTTCAACTACTAACTTCCTTCTACATAATCGATTGACGACTGAACTATAGTCTTGAATTGAAACTTCAAAACCATTTTCCACCATCTGATGAAACAATACCACCGCCCTTTGAACATCACCCTTTACACAATACGCTTTAATAAGTGTGGCGTAAGCAACTTTGGATAACTTAATACTGTTGTGCTGCTGAAGATAAACCAGCAGCATATCAGCATCTCTTATATCACCACATACACAAAGGCCATCGATAAGAACATTGTAAGTAGCAGCTGTGGGCTCAAGGTGATGATGGCTCAGCATCTCATCATGCAACTTGAATGCATTTCTCAAGTCCTTCGCTTTGCAGAGTTGTTGGATGATCGTATTATATGTGATTGCGTCAGGTGTTAACCCTACCACTTGCATCTCCCTCACATAATTGAGAGCTTCTTGCAACTTCCATTCTTTGCAAAGTGCTTTTATCAACACGCTGTAAGTAATGTGGCATGGATCCACATTGTTCTTCTTCATCTCCTGCAGCAGTGTTAGCACGTACACTGAATTTCCAGCTTCAGCATATGCATCCATGAGAGTCGTGTAAGTTATTGCATTTGGTATCAATCCATGCAGCTTGATTGTCCGCAACAAACCAGTCGCCTGCTCGATCATTCCATTTGCAGAAAGCCCATAGATTAAAGAATTGAAGGTCACTATGCTGGGGAATATTCCCTTCCCTGTTAATTGTCCGAACAACTGCATAGCCTCCTCGACGTTTCCAAGTTTTCCATACGCATCAATCATGATATTGTACAAAACAACGTCCAATTTAAAGCCATTGTCAAGCAAAGAATCGAAGTATGCTCGTGCTTCATGTATCATGCCCTTATCCCTGAAACTCCTCAAAATTGCACACTGTTCCAAAGAGCTTGGAAATAATCTACTGAAACACATCTTATTGTACAATCTGATAGCCTGACGCACCTCTCCTTGCTTACAGAGACCATGAACAAGAACCGAATATGTTACGAGATCTGGTTGCAACCCATTACCTTCCATTTGTGATAACAACGTCAATGCATTATCGACTTCTCCAACCTTGCACAAGCTACTGAGCAATACACTCACTGCGAGGACGCTCAGTTGAAGACCCTGAGAAAGCATCTCCTCAAGCAGCTTCAATGCTTCGGAAATGTTTCCAGCCTGGCAATGCCCATAGATCAGTATCGTGTAGGCAACACTCTCTGGATTTCTCTCTTTAAGTAGCATATCCTCAATCATCTTGGTAGCACCACTCATCAAACCAAGTAGATGAAACCCTTTAGCTAGGGTGTTATAGGTTACCATATCAGGCTGTACACCTTGAATCTCCATCCAACTTGCAACCTCTAAAGCTTCCTCCATGGAACCAGCTATACACAATCCATGAATAAGAATATTATAACTATATGCATCAGGCAGTAATCCGTACTTCAGCATCATACAGAAGAATGATTTTGCAACTTCTACAAAACCCGAATTACAATACCTTGACATAACGGTATTGATTGAAACTACCGAAGGCCCAAGTTCCTTGCTCTCGATATCACGTATAAATGAAACTGCCTGAGTTAGCCTAGACTGCCTGCATAGGCCATCGACAACAATGGAACCAGAGTGTTCATTCGGACGGCAACCACTAGCTTTGATGTCGTTATATACATCCCACAAGGAATCCGTATGCCTCAAATTGTACATCAGACTATTGTAAGTTTGTACAGAAGCCCGCAAGTTCAAATCTTTCATCTTCACTATAACAAAGAGTGCATCGTGAACCATCTCAAATCTTGAATAAGCAAAAGCCAACATATCCCATACATGATCAGTTGAGTTCCAAGACCTAAAACTACTGGAGAGCAGCTCGCAAATTGAAGGAGCCGAGCCAGAGCCTATCAGAAATCATAAGACATTCAGAACAAAAGTCTAATCTGAGCTAGTACATAGAGTGAGGCATATTGTCAGAGGAGTCCCCCAAGAGAAATTAAACCGCGCACCTTCATCTAGCAGCAATTGGTCGACAACCTTCCTCAGCTCGTCGAACCGTCTCATTCCCGCTAAAACATGGGAAACGATGAGGGCTGAAACATTCGAGTGCCGGAACCCAAACTCCTTCCTCAGCAAATGAAAGAAATCGACCGCGGAATCCCCATTCTGGTTACTCAAATCCCTAATCACCGAATCAACCTGGTCCGGGGTCAGCATAGCTATCAGGCTTCTAAACTCGCGTGCAGAAACGAAACTCGAGAAACCCAAGCAACTAACTCCGCGAACAATCTCTTGAACGATGCAGTCTCCAGAGTCCGGCAGGGCAACGGAACCGGCGGCAAAAGCAAGAGCGGGTTCGTCGAGGGCACAGGCGGAGGCGGTGGAGACGGAAGGCTTGGGGAAGGCGAAGGAAGAAAGAGATGCGAGAATTGGGGATTTGAAGAAGAGAAGACGGAGGGGAGTTCTCCATCTGCAGAGCATAGAAAGGGGAAGCAGCGGCTGTTGTTCACAGGTAGGCTAGACGGGACTGAAAGAAAGGACTCAAATTGGAGAGAAGAAGAAGAAGAAGAGAAAGAGGGAAGGGCTTCGACTGCGAGAGAGAGGAAGGGTTTTGGTTTTGGAATGGAGGGAAAGAGACGAAGAGGGGGGGGTTTAAGGAACATCTGTTCAGCGGCTGACTGAGACTGAGAGGGGTTTTGGCTTGGGGTTTTGCCGGGCGGGAGGGACAACGGATTCTGGACGTTGGGAATTTGCAATTAAACGGTACCGATGGCAAGGCAGCAGCAGGCAGTAGCTTTCTTCTGGGTCCAGATGGGTCATGGGTCGTGTGGAGTGGACCTAAAGGTAGCGCGGCCCACAATACTAGATTCGGCCCAACATAATTACAGAGTCCCACCACATATGTATTCTTACGTAGTTACGTTATAGAGGCCAACTAGTGGTCAATGGTTATGGTCTAATACTTTGGATTGGCAATGTGCATGTGCAGGATGAGGTGTCTAGATATTTATATCAGTTCGTTCGTGGCAGGTCGAGTTCAAATCGATTAATTTATCATGATGTACGGGTTGGGTTAGGTTGATTTATATGGAAAAATATAATTTAAAAGAAAAAAAATTAAAAATATACTTTTATCGTTAAAAACTCAATGAATAAACTATAATATGATAAATTATTTGAAAAATTGATGTCTCGCATGTGTACAACTTCATTATAGCAAAAATATGAGGTAATAAAAGTAAAATCCTTAGTAATTTAAGTAAAGTTAGATATAATTTAGGAAAAGACGGGTCGAGAATGGGCGGTCAGAGCATGTTGAGGAGAGTACCCATGCACGTCCCGCACCGTTTACGGGGCATGTATTATCCACCTCAAAACAGGTCGGGTAAAATCGGTCTGGACGAAATTATCATCCCTATTTGTCAGGCCACAGTTATACTCGCAGGAAATAGGGTAATAATATTCGGTGATAACCTTGTGAAATTGTATCGGAGGTTGTACCTATAAAGTTCCAGGTAGAGTATTTTGTGCTGAAACAATAGTTTAATCGTAGTTCAACTGTTTCATACTGCTAAAAATTGCCTATCTATCGATTTGGTTTCCGATAGGAAGATTTTCCGGTTTGATCATTGGTATTGTACGGTTTCATAAACCCGAGTGATAAGTAATAACATTAGTAGGAGTTGTCACCAAAAAAACATTAGGAGTATTTAATAAGAGTATTTAGATTAATTTAGGTGATGTTAAAAATTTATTAACAAGAAAGAAGAAACAAAAGAGATCGATGGACACTCGTTCAGGGAAAAAAGCTGCTCGATGAGATGGGTTGGGGTCTCGAGTTTAGTTGTGTTCAGTTAATTATTATGTGTTGATTATTAGTGAGTTGTATTGGCTTAGGATGTTTAGTTTATTGTTATAGCAAAGATTGAAATACCGTACTGTACTGACGGTTAGACCATAAAAATATTTTATGAGAGGCTAAATTGGTAGGCAATATTTAGCGGTATGAAGCGGATGAACCATGGTATTAGCATAAAATACTCTACGACTGGCTTTTTTGCTACAACTTTCGTTATGGTATTTCAATCCTTGTGTTAAAGAGGTATTAATTAACGCCCTAGGTTTTTTAAATTTTGTCGCCCTAACTTGGCAATTTGACGGTTTTGCCCCAAAAAAATTCCAATCCCTAACAATCTTCGTCGTCGCTGATTGCTGCTGGGAGTCTTATCTATCGCTCCGTGCTGCTGACCGCCGTTGCGGAAAAAAATTCACAATCGCTAACAATCTTCGCCGTCAACGAGTGATGCGGGGAGTCTTCTCTGTCGCCGAGTGATGCTGTTGCCGCCGCGGCAACTGCCTTCCGCTGAAGAGAAAATTCAGTTAGGAATGTCGGGAGACTAGCTTCTTCGAGGAACGGATAGATGTGTCTGTGAGCTAGCCATGTGAACATCAGGACCCCAATTCCGCCGCCGTTTCTGAGTTTCATCTCGTCAGTCATTTTCCTTTCCAACCTTGAACCGATGGCGATTTTCCTCTCAACCTGACCTGCAAAACTGTACCCTTCTTTCCATCTGTCGACGAGATGCTGCTGGTATTAGTGCGACACCATAGTCGGAGAGACCCAAGGCCAGAATCTCCGGAGCAGCAGAGAATGAGACCTCTCTCCTTCCTCAACGAACGGGACGGAGCAGCAGCAGTCAACCGCTTCGGCCTTCCCTCTCCCTCCTCAACGGCGATGGGCGGAGCAACAGCCAGCCCGTCGGGCCTTCTCTCCTTCCTCAACAGCGACGGGTGCCTCCATCCTCAACGGTAACGGGGCGGAGCAGTAGGAGAGATAGTTTCGTCGACGACGGGATAGATGGAGAAGAGAACGCGACTGAGAGGGATTATCGCAAATCACCGACGTGATTGGCAATTATGGGTTATAGATTTATCGTCGGCGACCGAAGGTATTGTCCCTGCATGCGGGATTTAGGGCGGCAGAGGGTTTTGGGAATTAGGGGTTTCCGTTTTAGTTATTGCCGGGCTGGCTATTTGGTCCGGGTTTTTTGGTTTTACCCGAAACCGGATCGTATAACCCAGACCGGGACCGGATAGTAAACAATCCAATCCAATCTTTGGGCTTAGATTTGAGGTAAAAAACCATTCGGGACCGGATCGAAAACTTGATAAAGACCGGATAAGAGAGCTAAACACCCAAAACTTAATGGTAATTTGCATAAATGGTCATAAACCTTTGCACTTAGTACAAAACTTAACCAACTCCTCACCCTTTCAGCCCTTAGGCCACTTAAATCTCCACAAGCTCAATATAAAATCAAGACCGAATTGGGACCGGACCGGGTCAAGACCGGACTGTATCCAATCCAATCTGTGGTCCTTATATTTTCAAAAAGACCGGACTGGATCGGATCAATTTGGGCCAATTTAACCAGACCGGACCGTATAGCCACCCCTAGTTATTGGTGGTAGAATTGTCTGTTTAGTGAATTTAGGGCATAAAATTTAAAAGGTTAGGTCGTTAAATAAGAATCTAGTTGTGTTATGGGTTAGTAATTAATAGGGCTTATCTGTCTACGTGGGGTTGTCATGCATGGCCCCAGTAAGTGTTAGGAGTTGAGGTCAAGTTGGAGTATTCTTGTGTAGTTGAGTCGGCTAAGGGTTTCGGCTGAATTATGCTAGGTTGTACGTATTAGGTTTTCTTTCTTATATAAATATGTAAGTTCGACATTAGCTCGGGAGACAATCAATAAACTAAAAGGTTCATCGACACCGACATTGTTCTCTCGCTTGTGAGTTACAAGCAAAATTCTTGACTCCTGGGTTACAAGTTCATCAGAGATGCCCAAGAAAGATGATATGTGGAATAAACACATAAATAAAAACAAAATTACAAGAGCTTGATCAGTAAAGTTGCTTTTGTTATAGTTAGTCAATAAAGTTGTAATGTCATATTGACGGGAGAATGAAAGTATAACAATTGAGTCTTTTGACAGTTTAATCAATTAATTAATTAATTTTTATATTAATTATTTAATGTTTCAATATTGTGAAAAGAAGTGTCCTTCCAGAACGGTAACTTTCTTTTTCTGTGAAAGGATGTGTACTTTCAGGAAAGGTAATTGTCTTTTTCTGTGAAAGGATGTGTCTCTTTGGAATTTAATTTCCAGTTTTCACGAGTATAAATAGATGACTGCCATAATCCTTTTTTAAGACGAGAGATTACTTCTTCTTCCCGTTTTCCTTCTCTATTTCATAAACACAAAAGTCTGCAAGATTGCAGCTTTCAGACTTTGAATTTAAGGGATTACTGGAGGTGGACATGTGATTTGCTCGAACCAATCAGCAATTTGTTGTGGGGGCAAATAACACTCTATGAAGAATGGTCTAATCACGATTTCAATCTATTGTTTCCTACTAGTTCTGACGGCTTTTGTTTAGGATAATTCTCCCTCCTAAAGATAGCATCTAGCATTTCCATCCTTCTGAGTCTCCTCTGAAACTTTATCACAATCGGATTCCAAATCAAGGTCAAGGAAGGACTTGTACCAAGGGACTAGATACTATAACAACACTCCTTTTGTTGTTATTGTAACAACACTAGTCTCCAACCAATAGGAAGCTAGGGATGTGATGACTTTTTATTAGTTAAGTTGACCTAGTGTAAAATCAAAGCAGGGGTATAATTATCATTATGTAAAAATAAAAAATAATAAAAAAATAAAAAATATTTTTTTATTTTCCGCCCAAAATTTTGATCGCCGGAATTCGGCCACCGGTCGCCGGAATCTGGTCGCCGATCACCGGAATATGCTTTTTCGTCGCCGGAATATGCTATTTTCTCATCGGAATATGCCACCGTCGCCAGAATATGCTCACCGCGACCGGATTATGCTTACCGACGTCGGAATCTAGTCATCGGGGCCGGAATATGCCTATCGGCGCCGGAATCCGGTCACTGACGGTCATCGGAGTTTGGTCAACGGTTTTCGTTGACCGGTCAACGGTCAACGACCACCGGATGTTATGGTCTTCATTGTGAGATTTATGGTTTGGTTTCTCACATTTTTGTATGCCTTTTGTGGTTTGCTTTATCGTGTTTATGGTTTGCATTGAGAAGTTTCAGGTTTGCTTTATCGTGTTTGTGGTTTGCATTGAGAAGATTCTGGTTTGCTTTGAAAAATTTTGTGTTTTGCATTGAGGGATTTGTGGTTTGTTTTAGGAGATTTGTGGTATGCATTAGGAGGTTTCTGGTTTATTTTTGTGGTTTGCTTTAACGTGTTTGTGGTTTGAATTATGAGGTTTCTGGTGTGTTTTTTAAAATTTTGTGGTTTGCTTTGTGAGGTTTCTGGTTTGTTTTAATATATTTTTGGTTTGCATTAGGACGTTTCTGGTTTGTTTTTGTGGTTTGCTTTATCGTGTTTGTAGTTTGCATTATGAGATTTCTGGTGTGTTTTTGAAAATGCTGTGGTTTGCTTTGTGAGGTTTCTGGTTTGTTTTAGGCGATTTGTAGTTTGCATTATGAGGTTTATGATATGCTTTTTCTCGTTTGTTTTATTGTGTTTGTGGGTTGCATTAGAAGCCTTTTGATGTACTTATAAAGTGTTTGTGGTTTGCTTTTTGACGTTTCTGTTCTGTTTTAGAGGATTTATGGTCTATATTAGAAGATTTTT